GGGGGGGGGGGGCAGCACCTGGATGCTGAGGTCCCACAGGGGGCCGTCAGGGAGGCTGGGAAGGAGGAAAGCCCACTCCCCAGGCAGATGCTGCCCAGGGCTTGCCCCCACTGCTCCCCCCCACCCCCAGACAGGCAGTGTGCTGAGCAAGGGGTGGTAGAAAGGGGCTGGGAAGAGGGATAGTGGGCCATGTGTACAGGGGGATCCCAACCTGGGATGCATGCTGGGCTCCCCAGCCTGGGGGTTCCTACCCTTCATGGATGAATTCCTCCAGAGCAGCGCACTCCGACACCAGCTGGGGGAGGCCACTTCTCAGGACCACGAAGGAAAGGATGGGCAGGAGGTCGTCAGCACCACTGTTGGACAGAGGCACTCTGGCAGGAGGCTCCGGGGCCATTGAGGCTGCTCAATCCCCAAATCCCGAAGGCCCAGCTCAGCCCCTGCAGTGGTTCTGGGTTTGCTGCTGCCCTCTCTGCACCATCCACACAGAGCACCTAGGAACAGCCGGGCCATCCCCGAACAGGCTCCCATTGTGGACAGGTAGGGGAAGCTTCAAACTCATAAGCTTGCCCGAGTCTGGGGAACAGGATGATGGAGGGGATGGCCCAGGTCCTGGGCAGCCAACTCACTCCTAAAATCAGGTATCACTCATCTCAGTATGACAGGTACCCCAGACCCCCTGTAAGAGGCATCTAAGTGAGCTGAGTGGGGAGTGAGGCCCTGAGGGGTCCCCAGAACCCCAACCCAAGGGCCCCATGACCAGTGCTCCCTGGGGAGAGCACAGGGGCAGACTGTGGCTTGAGTCTGATTGCGTAGGCCTCTCACACCATGAGCTCCTGCAGGACATGGGGGCACTGCAAAGCTGCAGGGACATGGACAGATGCCCAAAAGAGGGAGCGGGTGAGGGCTGCAGCCAGACTAGAAGACACTTCCAGTCCTAGAACTGTGCCACCTGCAGAGACTCACTTGGAAGCCAGATGACAAACTAGTGAAGGGGACCCGTGGAAGCCAGGCTGGAACCCCTGCCCGACCCTGCACTGAGACCCAGTACCCTGGCTCTCGGGTGGCTGGGGGTGGCATCTGTCTCCCACACCTTGGGTGGAGCTCCTCTCTGCCAACCTCACATTCAGCTCTGATTTCTACCTTTCCATCACCTGCAGGTTCAAGGGTGTGGGTAGGTGCCACAGCCCACCCACCAGGCTGCAATGATAGGTGCCTTCAGGATGATCCTGGTCCCAGGGGCAGGGTGGCAGGAGGCAGAGCCCCTGCAGGGGCTTTGGGAACATCAGCTCCAGGTGGGCACCAGGGCAGGAGGCTGCAGGCCACAGGCAGGTCCAGGTGAAACTGAGGCAGGACCAGGCAACAGAGCCCTAGGCTGCTGCACCCAGGTGGGAAAGACCCCTACCCCACTTGTGGAGGGTGGGGCAGGGACGGTGCAGGAGCCCAGGGCTGGGGGCTCAGTGTAGGAAGCAGGCTCTTCACTAAGCTAGGGCAGCTTCCCCCAGGTGTGCAATGGAGGAACCAAGCATGTGCTTCTGGGGTGAGCAACCCTAAGTTTCATCAGATTAGCCAGAGGATCCCTGACCCTAAGAAGCTCTGCCCAGAGGAGCAGGAATGCATCGTCCATGGGGCTGGAGTCTGGGGTCCTTGTGCTCTCCTGTATGAGCAGCTGCTGGGGGGCAAAAAACTGGCCCTGGCCCTGGCCCTGGCCGGTTTGGCTCAGTGGTTAGAGCATCGGCCTGTGGACTGAGGGGTCCCGGGTTTGATTCCGGCCAAGGGCATGTGCCTTGGTTGCAGGCTCAATGCCTGGCCCCATGCAGGAGGCAACCAATCGATGTGTCTCTCTCACATCTATGTTTCTCCCTCTCTCTTCCTTCCACTCTCTCTGAAAAGCATGGAAAAAAATCCTCAGGTGAGGGTTAAAAACAAAACAAAACAAGGTTGTGGCCCTGGTGGCCAGGGCAGAGTGGGAAGATTCTCTCTTCCCCTGGCATCTAAGGGCAACCCCTCATGTGCCCAGTGTCCACCCCAGGCCATGCCCTCCCAGGACTCACATGGCAGCCATGCCAGGCTGTGGTCTAGCCTCGGGTGCAGGCTCCTGGGCCCGGTAGTAGCCCTCAGCACAGGCACAGATGATCCGCAGGGCCCGCACTGTAGCACAAAAGTGAGGTTTTGGGTAAGGGGAAGGGGGAGCCCATCCCAGGGCAGCCCAGAAGCCAAAACTGCTCCCAGCACCCCAGCACTGCCCCCACACCCGCCATGTGGATGATCCCTCCCGTGAACATCACTCTCACACCATTCATCTCATGGGACACACTCCATTTGAGGTGCAAGAGGAGGACCTGCAGCTAAGAGACACGGCACAGGGGCCCTAGGTCACCCCCTGGGGTGGGACGATGGCTTGTCTGACCGTGTTCCCCTCGCCCTCCTCCCAATGCACTCCTCACCAATGCACTCCAGCTTCTTCTGGGGGCAGCTCTCCAGGACCAGCAGCCTCAGCTCCTGGGCTGCCGCACAGTAGGGGTAGGCACTGGCTTCCGAGGCTTCAGGGTCCCGAGGGAGCAGCTTGGAGGGGATGCCGAGGGCTGCTGGGGGTGTGTTCCGGTAGAGCTCCATGCTCCTGCTCAGGGCAGCCTCCCGGGGGCGGTACACACTCCTGGGCCAAGAAAGGCCAGGCAGAGCTGCCCAAGGGACCCTGCCCCGGAGACAGGCAGGGTGGGGGGAGCTGGCCATGCCCCAGGTCACAGGAGGGGGGATGTGCAGGCAAACCAGGACAGCTGAGCGCACCTCAGAGTAAAGCTCTAGGGGAAGCAGTCACAGGTGTGACCCAGGATGGAGGGGGCAGTGACACTGGGGGATGGGGGCTGGAGCTGAGACAGCACCTGTACAGGGCCAGCAGCGGGGGCCACAGCGGCGAGAAGAAGGGCTCCTCCAGGCAGGAAAGGCAGCAGTCCCGGGACACGGCCGTGCTCAGGCCTTCGAAAGCCAGGAGCGTCAGCGAGAGCAGCCTGTCTGCCAGGACAGAGCCGGCACATGGCGCTGTGGGCCAGCTGGCAGCCCCTGGACATTACCCAGATGAGCCCCCACCCACCACCTTCTCCCTGCCCTCCCAGAGCCAGCCTCAGTGTGCCTGGGGCCACAGTCAGCATCCTGGCTCAGTGGGGAGGGAGATCTGTCGGGCCCCCCCCTCCACTCCCCTTCACATCACCCCCTCCTGAGTCCATGCAGCCTAGGGTTAGAGTGGGAGTCTGGGCCTTCATCCCTGGGTGCTCACAGGGTCATACCCAGCTCCCCTGAGGGCCAAGGAGGCAGGCCTGGGAAGGAGAGCAGAGAACAGGCTCTTTCTGCAAAGTATTTGTACCCCAAACTGCAGGAACCAGAGAAACTTCAGAAGCATATTCAAGGACAAGAAACTTGAGGCCTAGAGAGATAGGGTACCCTCCTGGGGATGAGGTAGACCTGCTCAAGATGGGGAACCCACTCAGGGAGGAGAGGGACCTGCCTGAGGAGACCTGCCCCAGGTCTCTTGGAGAGCGTGGGCCCCACAGTGAGAACAAGGCCCCTGAGTATCAGGCTTCAGTTGCTGGTTCTCAGGAAACCTTGAAAGCCTTCCTCCTTGGAGGGACTTGGAAGTCACTGGCCCACCCTTAGGGAACCCGCACACTATTTGCAAAATGGAAAAAGCTGGGGGAAGGGCCCATCATCACCACCAGGCTGCACACATCCGACAGTCCTTGGTTTTGGAAGGATGCTGAGTGCAACCCGATGAGACAGCCAGGACCACCTGGCTGCCAGAGGCTCTGGGGTGGACATTCCCCAACCACAAGACTGCAATGGACCAGGCTGTGTCTTGTCGTGCAGCCCAGTGAGGACAGCCAGGGACTGAGGGAAACCGGGCCCACAGCCAGCCCCAGCTGCTCTGGAGGCAGGGTGGGCGCCTGTCTGTTCAGCAGGATGTTTGGCTACAGAGGAGGACCGAGGGGAGGGCTCTGCAGGTCAGGGCTGGCCTGGCCGCTATCCAGAGAAGGCCCCGCCTCCAGAGCATATCCCAGCTGCTGGCCTGCTTCAGAGTCAGAGCAGCTCTCCACCCACCCGCCTGCCCTGTGGAGCGCTGCCCTCACCGATAGCACTGTGTATGTCCTTCACGGTGCTCCTCAGCTGCTCCAGCAGTGGCTCCTCCTTCACCCCTGAGGTGTGAGGCTCAGTCCACCCCCCAGGGCCCTGGCCCCACCTCTCAGAAGTGGCCAAGAACTGTTCCAGGTCCTCGAAGGAGCTGTCCTTGCCGGCCAGGGGTGAGGAAAGCCCCTTAGGGCTGCTGTCCACCCCTCTTTCGGGGGCCCCGGGCTGGAGTGGGTGTGTGGAGGGGTGAGCAGGGGGGCCATCAGGGGGATGCGGGGCTGGGCTGGGCTCTGGGGGGGACAGCATGCAGTAGAGACTCTGTGAGGGCCTGAGGCGCCGGCTTCCAGGAGCCAGCAGCCCATCGGTGTCAGGGGGCAGGGAACAGCAGCCGGGGGCTGAGGCAGTTGCAACACCCCTGCTCACAACGGGGTACAGCGCCCGGTACACCGCACACTGGAGCTTCTTCAGGAGCTGCGAGATGGGGTGGTCAGGAACACTGCGAGCACAAGTGGAGGCTGCATGTGGGAGCAGCCCAGAGAGACCACAGGGTGGAGGGGCTGCAGTCCCCTTGCTGGCCTCTGGCCTGAGGCCTGAGCAAGCTGGCCCTGCCCCCACATCCCCTTGTCCAGAGAAGCACCTCCTATTGTATTCTTTCTTCAAGAGGGAAGGTTGCAAATTAGGGCTGACCCACCCCTTGGAGAAAGCAGAGAAAGGCCAATGAAAGACCATCAAGGCAAAGGGGCCAGAGCCCTTGGGCAGCCAGACGGGGGGCCTGGGCAGCACCGGCTCCAGGCCTCCTCATTCACTCTTCCCCTTCCAGTCCCTCCAGCCAGAAGGGAGAGGAAGGGGACCTGAGGATCCTGGTACCTGAGCAAGTGGGACACCAGGCTGGTCACCAGCGACAGGTCCCCAGGGTTCCTCTTGAGCTTGGCCCTCCAGTGCTTCGGCCAGTCCTGCAGGATGGGAGACCTTGGCCCACAGAGCACGGGGACCCCCATGAAGAGATGCCCCTCCTTCCTCCCTGCCCCCTGCCAGGGCTGCACCCCAAAAGACCAGGCCTCACCATTGAAACCCTACCTGGGGTGAAGATCCAATGCCATCAGGCCCATGGGACCCCCACACCCCTGCCCCGGGAACCACAACACAGGACCAATGCCCAACCCTGAGAACACAGATCCCTCGCCCCTCCTGAGCCACTGCATGTGGCCTGGCCCAGGACCCTGCCCTGCAGGACTCACGTGGTCTTGCTCATACTCAAGGATGGCAGCATAGAGGTCCCGCTGTTCCTGCTCCTCTGGGGTGATAGCGGCCTGACTGCAGAACCTCCTGGGGAGGAAGGTGCAGGCTGAGGGCCTCAGGCTGTTGGGTGTGAGCCCCACCAGTCCTCCCAGCTGCCCTGAGGCTGAGACCAACAGAAGGGGACACACCTGTTCGTGGCCTCCTGGAGCCGCAGCCGGCGTTCCTCCATCTTCCTCTGCAGCTGGCGTCAGAGTCAAGGCCGCATCTGATGGCCTCTGCACTCCTGTGCTGAGCCCGGGCATCCCAGCACCAAGCCCAACACTGGGTCCAGTGAGCAGGGGTGCTACCTCGGCCCTTCAGCCTGGCGGGAGTTGGAGGACCAGCACTCACTTAGGGAGGGAAGGCAAGTCCTAGGTGACTTGAAGGATGGAGAGGCGTCCATGGGTGCTGGGCAGGGGGCGGCCAGGACTGTCTTTGCAAAGGCCAGGGACGGGAGACCATTCCCTGAGCACATGCCTCTCCCAAAGCTGGAAGAATTCTGATCCCACACCCCAACTCTGTCACCTTTACTCCCTTCACTTCCTCTCTCAGCTCAAGGTCACATTCTGAATTTTCATCCCTGGACACCAAGGATGGCTGGATAGAAAGGATACAGTCTCCTCTCGGGCTTTGGCGATCACCAGGTTCTCCATCATCTGCCGCTGAAGGGACAGGGTCTAGGAGGGGAGGAGGGAGTAAGGTCTGCTTCCCTCCCCCAGCAACACAGAACCTCCCTGGGACCCCGCTCACCAGCGATGTCTTCTGCAGGGCCTGGCTGGGGTTCAGACGGGCCATCCTGGCCTCATAAGTGGCCTTCAGCTTCTGATTCTGCAGGGAGGCCTCCTCCAGGGGTGTCAGATCCCTAGAAATGATGACAAACTGCTATCCAGGCCCCAGGAAGCTCAGCAATGTTCTGGTGACCTGAGGACCCTTCCTGACCCAGCCCTGAGACCAGAACATGAGGAAGTAGTGATGGGGTCCAGTAGGAAGTGTAAAGGTAAGACGATGTCTGGGTGGACTGGACCACAGCCCACTGAAATGCGGGTGCCCTGTTGCCAGGACTGCTGACTTTTCACGGGAAGCTGGACATCAGACTTTGATGCAATTCAGTCATGTGTGTTTGGCAACAACATGAAACTCTTAAGGCACCATGTGAGCCAAAAAGATGAGTTTGCAACCCACGAAAGGGAGAACTATGTCTCCTGGATAGCAGCAACAGCCACCCACAGCAAAGCTTCGTCCCACCTCTTCCTGCTTTCATGGGTGGGGGAGGGAAAGGAAGTCTGTCCTAGAATGGAAGTCCTGTGCCTGGCCCTGCCCCAGAGCTGCACATGGAGAAACGAGGGCCTGGAACCTCCTGAGCAGCGGTGGCCCGAGGCCTGGCAGCAGTGGGGCTGGAGGAGTTGGTCATCCTTGTTTATCCTACTTGGGATGCTGGTATCTGTGTCTTGATTTTTTTCATCGGTTTTAGAAAATTGCCACCATGTCTTCAAGTAACACACCTCTCCTGTCTTTTTCTCCCCTTTTTCTAGGACTCCAGGAAGCTTCTGTTAGACCTTCTATCTTTCAAATTTTCTGGAGTTTTTTTCTTTCTGTGAGTCATTCTGGCTACCCTTTGCCTTCTTATCCAATTTACAAATTCTCTCTTTAGTTGTGTCTATGCTACAGTTATATACTTGTCATTTTGTTCACGTGTCGGTGTTTACTGGAGGGTATGCAGTTGATCACTGAATAACACATGTCTCAAGTGCACAGGTACACTTATATGCACACTTTACTTAAAATTAAAAATTTACTTAAAATGCTTGTATAAATGGTGCACAGTTCAAGCCCACGTTGTTTAAGGGTCAACAGTATTTTCAATCTGTTGTTGGGAATCATGTATTCAGAAGCCAACTTAAGTTAAGCTCGGGTTTTCAACGGCATGGGTGTTAGTGCCTCCAATCCCCATTATTCAAGGATCAACTGTAACTTGTTGTTACTATTACCACTTAGTTTTTAACAATAATGTTGGTGTTATATTTTTCATTTTATTTCTACTTGGTTTTTTATTTGCTAGGTCAGATTTAGTTTCTTGTTCCCTGTAGGTAATTTCTCTTTTCTTTTCTTTTTCTTTTTTTTAAAATGTTTTTATTGAATTTAGAGAGGAAGGGAAAGGGAGAGAAAAACAGAAACATCAATGAGAGAGAAACATATATCGGCTGCCTCCTGCACGCCCCCTACCAGGAATCAAGCCCAAAACCTGGGCATGTGCCCTGACCAGGAATTGAACCTGCAGCCTCTCAGTGCATGGCATGATGCCCAACCAACTGAGCCACACCGGCCAGAGTACCCTGTAGGTATTTTCATACTTGCTTTTTATTTTTCTAAATATAGAGAGCATGATTGTATTATAAGCTGTGTCTGATGATAACTCTATTTGAAGACTTTACAGGTCTTCATTTTGCTGTCATTACTTCTGTTTCTTAATTCTTTTTGTGTTTGGTTATCTTAGACTTTGTGCCACTTATTTTATGGAAATTGAAGGTGCTTTTCTCCAAAGACAATTTGTACTTGTTTCTGTGAGGCAAGATTTCCGTTCTGGGACCCATTTTAACTGAACTCACCATGGTTAGCTCCCTTTGCCTGGCCTCCAAACCCAGACTCAGCCCACCTTCCATTTTGCCCCATCTTACTTCTTAGAGCTTTGCGACTCCACCACCTGAAGCCTCTGGAACATCTCAGGTGGCAGAAACGGGAGGAGCTTCCCCCCTTCGTCTGAGTACACCCGGCGGTGTCGGTTGGCAGGTGAGGGGACAGGAGCAGTCATGGGCATGGCTGGCTTCAGGCATGCTTTCCCTGCAAGACACACATAGCCATGAGTCAGCATAGAGCCCCACATTCCAGAGGAGCCAGACTTGGGGGGAATGCTCCAGGAAAACCTTCTGCTGGAGACCCACCAAGCTTGGCAGCTGTCAACTGGGCCCTCTCCAGACACTGCTCTGCCAGCTTCAGCATCTTCAAGGTATCCAAGGGCACAGTTTCCCCAGCTTCTGGGGAGTAAGGGACAAGAAGACTGGTTACCATCACCTCAGTCACTAATCAATCAGATTCTTGCTGAGATAAAAACAAGGGCAAGTTTGCTATCTCCTAACCTCTGACTCCTGGGCCAGCCCATCCACTCCTCTTCTCTGACCATGTGCCCTAGGGCTCTGAGCTTGGCCAGCCCAGCATCTGACTAACTGTTCCATTGTCTCAGGTGGACCATCAGAGCCCTCTCTCTACCTAACAGGGCCTTTTCTCCTGAGGACTTCACTTGTACCTACAGCCCCTCCTCCAGGTGGGCCACCATTCATGGGCCATTTCACAGAGACAATTTCATCACCCATTTCCTGGCCTATGGCTGTGCTCAACCCACCCTGGCACCTCCCCAGGGCTTCCATTCTGTAGATTACTCTTATCAGCAGGTACTTACTGTAGTTGCTGCTACCCAAAAACCCCTGGACACTACCAGCCCAGCTCCTGACCCACCTCCTGCTCCCTTCACAGCCAGCCCCTCAACACACTCCAATTAAAATTGCCCTCACCCTCCACATCTGCCCTATTTCCAAGTGCTCCCCAACCTCTCAGGGTCTCTCTCCTCTGGAACACCCCCTGGGGCTACTACCACCAACCTCCTCCCAGTCCTCAATCCTGGAGTGGCCAGAGTTCTGCTAACTCACTGCTTCCTAGGGCAGCTCCGATTGTGGTGACTCCTACCTCTCCCTGACCACGGTGCCTTTGTGCACTGGACTGCTGGACACTTCAGGTAGAATGTGCTCGTGGTGGAACGCTATGTTCCTCCCTCACAAGTCTGCTCCTGTACCCCCATCTCATGGTTCCTCCATAGCAGCTCACCATCTCCCCCTCTAGCAAATCTGGTTAGGTCCACCTTTAAAGAACATCCCCAAGCCCTTCTACCTCCAGGAGGTCTCACCACTGCTGTCCTCTCTATGGGAACCTCCTGGAGGCTCTGCTCTCATGCTGGCCTCTCTGCACAGAGCCTCCATGAGCTAACCCTCACATGAGAATGGCCGCAGTTCCACCCAAAGCCTTGCCTGCCCCTATGCACTTAACCCTTTCCAGCCTGCCTGCCTTTCCTCATACCCAGCACCCACTCTCAGCTCAGGACTTTTGTACACCCCTCTACTGGGAATGCTGCCCCAAGCCTTTGCTCAGCTCACTCCTCCCTGGTCACGTCCTACCCCACTACTCCCCTCAAGGCATCCATCCCTTCCCGCTCCCACGTCGCACAATGAAAGCTCATGCTTACTGAGTGCCCACCCATTCACCTTCTCCCAATGACCAAGTGGGTAGGACAGGACACCCCCAGGCCTGAAACACACCAAGGGCTTAGGTGTTCAAAAACTGACCAGCCTAGGAGCCTCAGTCAGGTTGAGAGCTGTACCTTTGGTGGTTTCCACTTCTTCCAGCAGCACCTGGGAGATATAGTGGATGCTCCTCAGGTATTCCGTATATGCCTCCTGTGCCCAGGGAAGAGAAATGGCAGGGTCAGGCAGTAGAGGCAAAGGATTCCATCATGCCTGCCTGCTGCCCTTGTGGGAAACACAGGAACAGTGGTGTCTGCTTATCTCTGAGATACACCTGAGCATCTAGCCTGAGGTGGTTAGCTGATTAGTTGGTCTGCCTGGGACACAGATAGTATCCCACTTCTCTAGACTTGAAGGAAAAGATGCCCAGCAGGGTAGCCATCCCTTCTCGCACTGCCTTTCTGGCACAGGAAGGAACTGAGATTCTCCCTCAGTGGCCAAGGGAAGCAACTTTGAGAGTTGCCGTCATTTTCCACTCTACGCAACAAGTTTCCTTTCTATGCTGTTCATTCAGTGGCTTTTACATTATTTTTCCTGGGAGGTTAATGAGGGAGGGAGTGATGCTGCAAACCTTAGAATCATTTTCTGGCTTGGGTTCTGGGAAATCCCTTTCCTGAACCCCGCTCGCTGCCGGGGTACATGGGATTCTAGAACACTAGAATATCGCCAGTTCCAAGGGCGTGAGCATTCTGTTGGGGCTCCCTGGACAGAGCACGGGCAGGGCGTTTGGAACTCAGCATGGTTGGATTTTTTTGTTTATTGCATCCCGGTTTTCAAATTACTCATGTTTAAGTCTACACCTCAGAGATTAGAATAAAGTGTATTTCGGGAAGGATTTCTTACTTGTGGGGACACCTGCTTCCCTAGAAACAGGGACAACTTGGGGACAGCAGCGGATTGGGGGCCGGTATA